ACAACCATATAATGAGAATGCTTCGACGACTAACTGGGCTGTGTGGACAACGTACGACCATAGGATGTGAATGCGTGGACGACTGTATTGGTGTTAGCTGTTTACTCGACTACTTGCGCGGCATGTAGGATAACGACCATATAACATGAGTGCGTCGACGACTAATTGGCATGTATGAACCACGATCGACGAACGACAACGAACGATCATAGCACGTGAATGCGTCCACTACTAGTTGGTTGGTGTGTAGGAGAACGACGGCAGGATGTGAATGCGTTGACGAGTACTTGTGCAGTGTTGGCTGTGGACTCGACTACTTGTGAGGTGTTGGCTGTGAATAAAAAAACTTCGCGGCCGCAAATAGTGCGGCCTGGTATCCGATGGCCATTGGTCCGTTCTTGTCGCTGTAAACATGGACATACATGCAGTGCAGATAATTTATACAGGAGTTGCTTATATTTCGCCCCGTGGACATCATCAGGACATAATACTAAAAGAAATACCCGGGGCAGCAGGAAATGAATTATATGTAGTTCTTTTTGTGAGAATGCACCATTGCCTGTTTGGTTGAACGACTATAAATATCAGCCCAATAACATTTTTTGTGTTTATGGCTAGTTGACATTCTTGAGACGTTTTTGGTATGATGCAGATGGCATTACCATTGGTTAGAAAATTCTAGAACTCATGATTACTTTGGTACTGCCGTGAATGAAGTCAGATTCGCAGAGTCTGTTTATCGTTGTTTGTGGTCAGGAATGCTTAAGCTTCAGACAACAAAACTAACATTCTAAATAAATATAAATAAGTATATACATAGGAGCGTGCATTCATGATATATCAATAGAGGCTGACCGAGTACAGCGCATTAAAATTATAAGTGATGCTGCTAAAACGTGTTTTGGCTAAAACCCTGAAAAAAACGTTACCATAGACACATCAATGCCGAATGTCCCGCCACCACGGATCTCCTACTTCCTCCGCAACTTCAATGACTTTCCGGTTGAAGCAAGTAACAATAGGTGCTACGTTTCAACGGCATCATAGTTCAGCTTTGGACAAGGAATGAAGAAAACACCAAACTTGAGCGAAAAAGAGGGAAGTGTCCCGTTTCAAAATTTCACAAGAGAAAGTAACGTACCCTAGGTGGATATGATAGAAGCAGTAGGATGGCGCTCCACTTGATGTCCGATCCTCTTTTTGAGTCAGAGCAGTTGCCAGGAGGCCTCTCCAGGACTTGGGCAAAAAAACAAGCTTCAGAGCTGCTGCTAGCGCTGATGGAAACGACCTCGCCACATTTCCTATACTTTTCAATTCATTTTGACATGCGACCTGTCCACCATAATCTCGGGGTGATGCTCCCGAGCGATTGCAGAAAAGGCGTCCTTGATAAAGCTCTGTAAGCCACGACCCCCTTTAAATAGCTTTCTTGTTTATTATTTTATTAAAAAATCATTATGGGTGTAGGACCATATAATGTGAATGCGTCGACGACTGCATTGGTGTTGGCTGTGGACTCGACTACTTGCGCGGAACGTAGGACAACAACCATATAATGAGAATGCTTCGACGACTAACTGGGCTGTACGACCATAGGATGTGAATGCGTGGACGACTGTATTGGTGTTAGCTGTTTACTCGACTACTTGCGCGGCATGTAGGATAACGACCATATACCATGAATGCGTCGACGACTTATTGGCATGTATGATTCACGATCGACGAACGACAACGAACGATCATAGCACGTGAATGTGTCCACTACTAGTTGGTCGGTGTGTAGGAGAACGACGGCAGGATGTGAATGCGTTGACGAGTACTTGTGCAGTGTTGGCTGTGGACTCGACTACTTGTGATGTGTTCGCTGTGAATAAATAAACTTCCCGGTCGCAAATAGTGCGGCCTGGTATCCGATGGCCATTGGTCCGTTCTTGTCGCTGTAAGCATGGACATACATGCAGTGCTGATAATTTATACAAGAGTTGCTTATCTTTCGCCCCTTTGACATCATCAGGACATAATACTAAAAGAAATAACCGGGGCAGCAGGAAATGAATAATATGTAGTTCTTTTTGTGACAATGCACCATTGCCTGTTTGGTTGAACGACTATAAATATCAGCACAACAACATTTTTTGTGTTCATGGCTAGTTGGCATTCTTGAGACGTTTTTGGTATGATACAGATGGCATTACCATTGGTTAGAAAATTCTAGAACTCCTGATTACTTTGCTACTGCCATGAATGAAGTCAGATTCGCAGAGTCTGTTTATCGTTGTTCGTGGTCAGGAATGCTTAAGCTTCAGACCACAAAACTAACATTCTTAATAAATATAAATAAGTATAAACATAGGAGCGTGCATAAATGAAATATCGCAAAAAATTATATAACGACCAGATAACATGAATGCGTCGACGACTAATTGGGATGTTTGAACCACGATCGACGAACGACAACGAACAATCATAGCACGTGAATGCGTCCACTACTAGTTGGTAGGTGTGTAGGAGAACGACGGCAGGATGTGAATGCGTTGACGAGTACTTGTCCAGTGTTAGCTAGACTACTTGTGAGGTGTTGGCTGTGCATAAAAAAACTTCCCGGCCGCAAATAGTGCGGCCTTGTATCCGATGGCCATTGGTCCGTTATTGTCGCTGTTAGCATGGACATACAAGCAGTGCAGATAATTTATACAAGAGTTGCTTTGTCCCACCCTGAAGCTCCCTCCCCCAACCCTGATGGAAAATGTTACTGTCTTAGCGGGTATCATCAAGAGCACAAGTCAAGCCTTGACCTTTGCACTCTGCAAAGGTGCAAGAAAGTGTCATTTCCTGCTCAAAACTAGTCGAACAATTAACGTAGTTCCGTGATTTCTTAGGCCTTTATCCTATTCATAGCTATGCAATGGATTCATTGACGTACTGTTTGATGTGTTCTAGACCAGTATAGGTATTTTCACACGCCCGGTTAAAATATAAGTCAAGTTGATGAATTCCCAGTACGCATGACTAGTTTGTAATTCCATCACAACAATCACATTTAAAGCGGTGTTGGTAAAATAATGGTAAAATTGATGTAAACACCAGTTTGAGCAATGTAGCGGTAAGCACAATGAACTACTGGTTAGTTCAAGTTCGGAGCTATACTGATCAGGCTTAGGAACTCGAAATAGCTTTAGAGCGAGACAATCAATGTGTAATTTGAAACCCGGTTTACTTACGTTAGGATCCTATTGATCACGTCACTCTGCGGCACCTGCCATTGCCTGATGATATCCTCCATAACTGTGCGATCCAACTGCGACGGGTGACTTGGACGAGTGGAGCGCTTGTGTTCCTGCAGTTGGGGGCTGAGTGAAATTGCCAACTGCAAACCATGGGAATGTTAAAGCCTCCCCAGCGCATGGTCGGTCACTTGCGTTAAACGCGAGGCAGGTCATGAGTAGATTAAAGAGTTCATGAGATTACTGTGAACTTCCTATCCATGGTCTCGAACACATGTCAGCTTGAACAATGGCCAGCTGGACGCCCACCTCAACTCCCGCTACTATGCCGAACGGACCTTGGCCGAACATGATGAAATAGAACATGCTGGCACTGTAACAGAGTAATCATTTACGTCACAACAACATCATTATTAATACCACTACAAGTAAGAACGATACTGGCTAAAAACATCATTCTATTGAAATTAAAATTTTGAAAATTAATTATTGTAATTCAGCGCAATCTCCGATTTTTAATAGCAACTGAATAGATCGACTGTCAGTTAAAAAACACCTTTCCATCAACCTGGACAGTACATGTAGAAATGCAAAGGAATGTGCTTAGCAAGTTCGTTTCCGACTTCCATGCGTTTGAATGCCTTGCATTTTCCTTTAGTCTCCAAAGCAACACGGCATGTTTAACAGTCGTGGAGAAATCACGTAGAGCGAAACCAAACAGCGCTGAACGTATGAAAATGAAAATGAAAATTACGTGCTGTTCCTATGTTATTTTCATACGTAATTCGGTAAGGCGAAACCTCCTTAATGTCGCATTTCCTGCCACTGTCGATTTCATACTTCCTTCACAACTTCAATGACTTTCCGGTTGAAGCAAGTAATCATAGGTGCTTTGTTTCAACGGGGTCATAGTTCAGCTTTGGACATGAAGAAAACCACAAACTCGAGCAAAAGAGAAGGAATTGGCCCGTATCAAAATTTCTTTTGAAGGATATCCAATACTGCAATATGCGTTGTCCAGTTGTCCATGAGCGCGTGCATATGTTTACGCCGTGGCGCAGAGTTGCATGTTCTACCAGGTACCTAGTCCTCCGTACCTTACTTTGTTCCATATATTTTTACCACCCAATTATAGAGCTTTTTCAATGTTGCACTAACGGTCACTTTTTGGGGTCACGTGGGAGACGTTTTTGATGCGTTGGTGAACAGGCGAAGCCCAGTTCAAGTTCAATTTGTATAGAAATGGTTGCGTGGTTACAAGAGGGGGTAACCTACTTTGGGTGGATATGATAGAAGCAGTAGGATGACACTCCACTTGATGTCCGATACTCTCGTTGAGTCAGAGCAGTTGCCAGTAGGGGCCGGCGAATACTGTTCGAAAAGGTGGCAGATTCGGCTCGAAAAGCAGTGAACTTGGCATAACCATACAAGCCTTATGGCGGGAAATTCCTCGAATTCTGCTCCATTTCTTTATCCTCATGCCAAACATACATGAAACCCTCCAGAAAAAGTACCGAATTCTGCCAATTTTCTGCCGGCATAATCCGCCGGACTCTAGTTGCCAGGAGGCCTCTCCAAGTCTTGGGCAAAAATAACAAGCTGCAGAACTGCTGCAAGCGCTGGTGGAAACGAAACCGCCACATTTCCTATACTTTTCAATGAATTTTGACATACGACCTGTTCACCACAATCTCGGGGTGATACGCCCGAGCGATCGCAGAAAAGGCGTCCTTTATAAAGCTCTGTAAGGCACCACCCCTTAAAATCGCTTTTTTGTTCATTTTTTTATTAAAAAATCATTATAGGTGTAGGAAAACGACAAAATAATGTGAATGAGTCGACGACTGCATTGGCTGTAAACTCGACAACTTGCGCGATACGGAGGACAACAACCATACTAGGAGAATGCTACGACGACTGGGCTGTGTGGACAACGTACGACCATAGGATGTGAATGCGTGGACGACTGTATTGTTGTTGGATGTCGACTCGACTACTCGCGCGGAATGTAGGCCAACGAACATGAATGTGTCGACGACTAATTGTTATGTATGATCCACGATCGACGAACGACAACGAACGATCCTAGCACGTGAATGCGTCCACTACTAGTTGGGCGGTGTTAAGGAGAAAGACGGCAGGATGTGAATGCGTAGACGAGTACTTGTGCAGTGTAAGCTGTGGACTCGACTACTTGTGAGGTGTTGGCTGTGCATGAAAAAACTTCCCGGCCGCAAATAGTGCGGCCTGGTATCCGATGGACATTGGCCCGTTCTTGTCGCTGTAAGCATGGACATACATAAAGTGCAGATAATTTATACAAGAGTTGCTTTCTCCCACCCTGGAGCCCCCTCCCCTAACCATGATTTGACATTTTACTGTCTTAACGGGTATCATCAAGAGCACAGGTCAAGCCCATTGACCTTTCCACTCTGCAAACTTTCAAGAAAGTATCACTTGCTGCTCAAAACAGTTTGTTTAGATAAATCCAGTTCCCATCACATTAGATGAGCGTGATGGGATTGCTCCTGGAGAGCACTACTTACCAATTGGTCTCCAGACCATCACCAAGGATACGAATCTACAGAGAGGGTACGTTTCCAGGGCGACCAATAGCTCGTGACCGCAATATAGCATCTACAGATATTTTAAAGTACAGTATGATAAGACTGACGCTAATCATCCTATATCGTTAAACTGTAGCATGCAATGGATTATACAAATTATCTACGAGGAGATAATAATTTTAATATAGCTATGAATAGGATGAAGGCCGCAGACATCACGCAACTACGTTACTTGTTCGACATGTATGTGAATTTTAGAATAATGTAATTGAAATCCAGAATCTATCCTGTTTCCTATCCTCAGATAGGACAAATACCGAACTAAATGATACAACCAAAAAAACTGAACTAAAATACTGTAATAGAAAGGTGTTCCAAATAACATCATGATACACGTGCAATAAAACCACCAGAGGAAACGCAAAAATTGCCCTTACTTGACTACTGTGATACTGCTTGGTGTGGCATAACTACTACTGTATTGAACAAGCTAGAAACCCATAACCGCATGCTCCTTAAAATCTTATTTAGCAAAGATCGTCGCTTTCCCTCCGCTAGTCTTTACGAAATTGCCAAGATCAGTCCCCTTTCCACTCGACATAAGTACCACGTCTGTGTTCTCATACATAAAATATTACTAAATAAAATACCCTTGCATATGCAGGCTTATAATTGGTTCTCCGAAACACGGAACACCCGGAACTCACTCAGTCTCCCACGCGCTGCCTCCACCCTATTCACTAGATCCCCGATCTTTGCTGGCTATGTGTTTTGGGCAACATTACCAACGCAGGCCAAGACCAGCACGTCGATGGATAATTTTATTGCTAAAATCTCTGCTCAATTATAGGTTTCATGTCTCCTCCTTTGCCTTCTTTGCCTCTTATTTGTATTCTTTTATCTGTTTTACTGCTGTGGTTGGCTTTCACCCTTGTCTCAGTTTTATTGGCCGTCATCATGATGTGCATATAAATACAAAAATACAAATACAAAAAGGTAACAAGTTTACGAAATCAAAGGTGAGAAGGCACTGAACGAAATGTCAACCTACGAATAAAACCTCCGGGCAACAAAGTGCTCGTAAGTTGACACTTCGTTCAGTGCCTTCTTACCTTTGGTTTCGTAAATTTGTTACCTTTTTGCGTTTCCCCTGGTGGTTTTATTGAACGTGTATCATGATGTTATTCGGAACACCTTTCTATTACAGTACTTAACTTCAGTTTTTTTGGTTGTATCATTTAGTTTCATTTTTACCACTGAGAACAGGAACGAGAAAATCCCTTCTGGGTTTGAATAACATTATTTTTAGAAAATACACTTAAATGTCGAACAAGTAACGTAGTTCCGTGATTTCTTTGGCATTCATCCTATTCATAGCTATGCAATGAATTCATTGACGCAGTGTGTGATGTGTTCTAGACCCGTATACACGCGTCGTCAAAATATAAGTCAAGTTGATGAATTCCCAGTACGCATCACTAGTATGTAACTCATTTCCATCACAACCACATTGAAAGCGGTGTTAGTAAAATAATGGTAAAATTGATGTAATCACAAGGTTAAACAATGTGCCGGTAAGCACAATGAACTACTGGTTAGTTCAAGTTCGGAGCTGTACTGATCAGACTGAACCCGAAATAGCCATAGAGAGTTTATGTAATTTCAAACACGGTTTACTTACGATAGAATCTTGTGGATAACGTCACTCTGCGGCACCCGCCATTGCCTGCTGATATCCTCCGTTATTGCGCGATCCAACTGTGACGGGTGACTTGGAGGAGTGGAGCGCTTGTGTTCTTGCAGTTGGGGCTGAGTGAGATTGCCCACTGCAAACCATGGGAATGTTAAAGCCTCCGCCGCGCATGGTCGGTAACTGGCGTTAAACGCGAGGCAGGTGTTGAACAGATTTAGGAGTTCGTGCGAGTACTGTGAACTCCCTATCCATGGTGTCAGACACATGCCAGCTTGAACAATGGACAGCTGGACGCCCACCTCGACTCCTGCTACTATGCCGAACGGACCTTGGCCGAACATGATGGAATAGAACATGCTGGCACTGTAACAGAGTAATCATTTACGTCACAACAGCATCATTATTAATACCACTAAGAACGGTACAGGCTAAAAACATCATTCTTTAGAAATTAAATTTGTGAAAATTAATTGTAATTCAGCGCAATGTCCGATTTTAACTGAATAGAGCGATTGTCAGTTAAAAAACACCTTCTCAACACCTTGGACAGTATATGTAAAAAATGCAAAGGAATATGCTTAGCAAGTTCGTTTCCGACTTCCATGGTTTGAATGCGTTGCATTACATTTCCCTAATAAATTCCTATCCATTAAACCAGTCTGGTGTTGTGATAATTATTCATGTGGTGCGACTTACCAGAAAAAGATCACATTTATGGTCCACTCCAAGCTCCCTGATGACCATCTCAGGCGGGTATGCGTAGTTGCTGGGCCGCAACATGCCTGGCTTTCCCCAGCGAAAGTTCTGCACCCAGCCAAAATCGATCAACATAGCAGTGCCGTTCGCTGCTACCATTACATTGTCGGCGTGTAGATCTCTGAATAGGAACAGAATGAAATGAGTACAGTTGCCAGTGTATACCTTCCTTACTTCCTGATCGCTCCAAATTAACTAGTTAAATCCAGAAACAAAACATTAACAAAACTGGACGAAATCACGTAGAAATGAGTTTTGAGACAATTATTCACGACTGTAATTACCGCTGATGTCGCAACATCTGAGCTCATAACACAAAGAATATTTTGAAGGTACTTACGCATGAACGATGCATGCCGTCTGCAGGTAGTGCAGCGCGTGTAGGACTTGCCACATGATTGGGCGGATATCGTCTTCTTTCAGACTACGCTGGTGCTGCGTCTGGATGTCCTGCGCCCAGCGGCTCAGCGTGCGGCCGTTAATTTGCTGGAAAAACAAAACTGCATACTGATCGGTCTGAGCTACCCCAAAGCAAGCCACGATATTGGGGTGGCGCAGCTTGAGACAGACTTCGGCCTCGGTCTGAATCATGTCCAAATCACGCTTCTGGATCATTTTGGCGACAATCTGCAAAATAAATGATACACATGTAAAGTCGTCATGCGGCATCATATCTGTAACTGGGTCAATGGTTCTTCAGACTTTTCCCGTTTGTGTTTCTCCCTCAAACCAGTGAATAATAGTACTAGGAAAATATCCTTAACCTTCACGCAGAAACTATTATGCAGAGTGTGCAAGTGTGGAACAGATCCATTAGTTGAGGGAATGAGAATCACACAACATCTGCTTACGTTACTACTTCCCGGTAGGATAGCTTTCCGAACCTCTCCGAACACTCCTTTCCCCAGCAGGTCTTCGCTGATCGTAATATCATTGTTGAGAAGGTTATTGGCCTCATCATATGGAACCTCCCGTCCAAACACGCGTATTGTCAGGCTACGGAGAGCCATGTTAAACACTGGATGCTGACGTGAAGAGGAACGACGAATACTGGCCTACATGAAAGAAAGAAAGTGAGGATAGTAAGAGATCACATGTCGCAAGTCTCTGCAATCATAACTTTCTTAAACTAGAAAAGTTGAACTTTGAAATATCCTGTTCACGCCATGTTCCTGTTGGAAGTTCTCCTAACGCAATGAAAGCATACTTCTAGCACATTTCGGAGGATATATTTATCTATTAGCAATGTGATACTTTTTTTGGACCATTAGCTCACGCTTTAAAACTATTAAGATAGACACAAGACAACCTACCTTTGCCTTGCAAGGAAAGTTATCTTCCACGGCAAGGACAAATCAACAAGATCGACAAAGCGTAGAGGGTCACTTGGCTCCTTTTATTTCCCAATGCGTGTCGTCACTCTTGTTCGTACCAAACGGGTATCTGATACGCCAAACGTCAAATACGATCCAGACTTTGCCGATTCATTTCCCGTACGGGAAAGTCATAACGCAACCGTCGCGCGATGGCTGTCCGTACACGAAATAGTTGAGCTCAGATTGACTTTTTCGCGACGCGAGGCGTTTCCCGTACTCGTAATGAAGTACATGTATGAATCGGCCTTTAAACCCCACTCGAATTATTAGTTTATCAGGTTTTTTCATGACTAGCATTAGTGGAACATGGTAAGGTTCGCTAAAACAACAGGTTATATAGGTAGAATAATAGTCGCAAAAAAGAACTCGCGGTTACACATAGCGTCAATTACAGCGGCAGTGTGAGTTTATGCATTAAATGCTAGATTGCTATCGGTAGAAGAATGTGACAGGTGTGTGTAGGTGTGTGGGCAACAAAGGGTGAGTGCGATTAAAAGATTGTGAGGGCTACGACGTTCTTTCGGAATACCGTATTTTCTCTTAAAAGAGCCCGGGGTTCCTATTTTTTCCAGTGGCAGCTCTACCCGCGCTATTATTGGAGACTGGGGCTCTTATTTTGCAATTGTTGACTATCAAGCCAACTCCAATCTATATAGGCATAAACTGACCATATTAAGACTGATTTTTCAACCTAAACTCAGGAATATTGTCAAATAGATGTTTCACACTCGCATTGGCGCCAGGAAGGAAGCAGTAGACCGAAAACCTCCTTACAAATATGTTCTTGGCATGTTGTACTGCTGCTTTATATGCAGTCATTATTAGGACACTCTATACTTGTTGCATACTGCAATTGTGACCCGCGCCACTATTAGCGACTGTGCTCTTATTATTTCAAACGACCCTCACCCTGGGTCATTATTGCAGACTGAGCTAATATAGGAGACCTGGGCTTTTAGCTCAGCTTCGAGCAGCAGGTGGAGCGTGTGTGTGCACAGGCACAGTGCAAGGTTGCCTCATTTTGTGACGGGCGCCGCGATGTCTCCATGACCGGCCGCCGCATGTTTCACCTGACAATTGTCCAGAGTACCTTGGACTATGCCAGCACACCTTATGTTCACTGCTTGTCTGCAAAACTCCGAGACAAACTTGAGTCAACCAGCAATAGGCGAGTGTGTGGCCATGATCAGTATACTTCTATCGATTTCATTCCCACCAATTATAACCTGTATACTTTTTCTCGCCGTGTAAACGTAAAGCTGTTTGTGTTGTTTTTAGGTGTCTATCTTGTTGCACCCCCCCCCCCCTTCCCCCGCTCTGAATCATGCCGCACAAATGCTGCTACCCACGGTCAAGCTTCAGCGGCTCTGAACCTACCCCAGCTACCTCCCATTACGGTCTAAATGCTATTTCATTTTGGGCAGCAGACAGAACATATTTCCACCTGGATTTCGTCAAACTAAGCCCTTTCTGCATTTGTCACAAGCACCACGTCATTCCTAGGGTTCCCAGTAAAAAGCTTCAAACATCAAAACGAACAATCTAAATGAATAATACCGTCTCGACTAGTTTGAGGGAAAGACATAAACGGGAAAAGTCTGAAGAAAAAATTGACTGTCACCACCAGGACTCGAACCAGGGACCTTCGCTTGTAGCTAGCGATGCTCTAACCACTAAGCTATGCATAGCTCGTGTAGTCGACTAGTCGTCATCCCAATAATAAGAAATTGTTAATAATAATAAATAAATAAGAGCGTGTATGCATTTAACGCACAACTGAGTTATGCCGAAAACTGTAGCAATTCTATAACGTAATACCCTGACCATCTTCCATGCTGAAAGGAAGCAACACTCGATATGTACATTGAGTTACACAATCTGCGGACCGAACTTTCCGTCCGTCGTGGACTCATCAGCCAAGTACAGAGAAAATCAGACTGAATCTGATAGCAATGAAAAGTAAATTTTCGAAAGCGAGATTTAAACCTGAACGGAACGTACCTTGCCAGAGTGGTCAAACAGACAAGTCCGTGAGCTCAGCAAAGCTCAAACAGCAAAGGCACTACCCCACTGCTAACGCCAATACCTCTGGTGGGTTGAGTTGCTCCCTGTACATCAGCTCGTTGTACGTGCATCCCGTATGTCTTGCATTGCGTTTGTCTCCAAAAGGTAGGGCTGTGTTCTCAGTTTGCCAACGGTTGAACCTGTCGGAAGGCTACCCGCTTGCCAACGCATTTGGGAGTGGGAATAACTTCAATTTCTTTGTCAAGGAAATGCAGTGGTACCTTGCAATTTTCATGGTACCAGTGCATCTAGTGTGTGCTTCTATCAAAGCAGCGAGCTGTATACATGTATACTGGTTGCCCCAGCAAGTGTAGGGTGTACATAGTTAACTGTATTGGCGTGCTATTCCGATGTACTCCGTGTGGTGTAGACCAGGTGTGCATTGGGGGTCCCATGGCGTCGCCAGTTCTTAATCCTAAGGCCGATCCATCCTTCATTTCGCAAACGGGAAACGCATCGCGTCGCGAAAAAGTCGATCTGAGCTCAACTATTTCGCTTACGGGAAAGCCATCGCACGACGTCCTTCCCGAAAGCGAAATGAAGTATGAATCGGCCTTTAGACAGTTATCTGGCGCCTGTCTAGATCTGCTTCAATCATAATCAGATCCAGTATCTTTGCTATAAAGAGAAATTCTGTGGGTTCGCCCTTCAAGTGCATTTGCAGATGTATGCCGCTCGTTTCCGCTGTTATATTATGGAACGCCCTGCCCCAAGAGTTCAAGTCCTTCGCCTGCCACTGATCATTCAAGAGACTTTTACAGGTATATTTTTATGGCTAGCCAGCATCTAGGCTTGGACTTGGAGTCGTGACTCAACTGTGACTCAACTGTGCTTTCTTCTTCTTTTTTTCTTCTTTTTTTCCCTTTCTCCTTTTCTTTTTGGGTATTTGCAGTCTGTGTTGTCTGTGTTTTTCTCTCTTTCGTGGAGGCTTGCTTGTATCCTTGGCTGGGGTGGACCGTTAATGTAGTGACACTTGGAAGGGAAGGACATCTCCGAATGCACCCTTTCCCTGGACCCTTCCACCGATTGACTTCAACGGATCAAATGTGACGGAACAGGAGGAGCTCAAAATCTTGGGCATCAGTTTCGATTGTCAGCTTACCTTCCGGCGCCACCTTCGTAACGTAGCCCTCCGGGCAACACAGCGAATTGATGCTTTGCGTAAGGCTTTCCACCTCCTAGACGTGCCCGGCTGAATCCAAGCCTACAATGCTTTTGGGCGCCCAGTGATGGAGTGCTGCAAAATTGTCTGGATGGGAGCGGCCCCATCCCACCTTGCAAGACTCGACCGTGTGCAAGCCCGGGCCATCCGTGCCATCGCCCCAATGTGTTGACTGCCGAGTCTTGTTCTTCGTCGGATGGTTGCAGCACTTTGCCTCCTGTACAAGATGCATATTTTGGATGCGCATCCCCTTCTACAGAGGATGCTGCCACCCTAGCAGCCCCAACACCGAACAGTCCACTTCACCCGTAGTACATTCCAGAGATGTAATGCTCACGCACACCAACTGGCCAATGAACTTCCAGTCTGTTCCCGAAACAACCCTGTGTCGAGCCTACCCTCACGTAGTTGTCCCCGTCTGGAACCAGCTGCCCGCCGGAGTCTTCTCTGGTCCTTTCTGCACCAAGAACTTGCAACACTTCAAAGTTGCAGCCAACGGGACATTGGAGGAGACAACACCCAACGGAGCTAAGAATCGCACTTCGTCAATCAAGCAACATCTGTCAGCCCGTACCAATTGTCGTGAGTTGTACAGTGATAATGTGTTCTCAATATTGTCACGTGGTAGATGTGCATTGCATCTGGCTGTGTTAGAAGCTTTGTATATCTGTAAGTTAGATCCTGAACTTTGCGTACAGAAAGAAAATGTGTTGTTGCTACAATTTTTTGGTGTTACTCCTCGTCGAGGTGTTAACAATGTAACTTAATTTGCTCACTATGTTCTTGTCACTATTATTATTTCCTTCGAGTTTTGTGTCGTGCTGAACTTGATAATTTTCCACCTTGTCACGAGTGTTGTTATCTCATATCTTTACGCTATATAAGTTTTAGTCTTTCCAACTTGAGCCATTCCCTGTATAATCCTTGATGAAAAGGGACCGAAAACGTTCGGATACTTTGACAAGTGCCTTATTTTGACTTGATGTGTGTTTGGGTGGATACTTACGACCCAACACGTACCTTCGTTATTATTAATATTATCATTATTATTATTAGACACAATTTCGTAGCATGTGACAAGCATAGCTAATGCAGGGACAGAATCCCCTGAGACAAGGGCGTTGAGCCAGCCACGGCAATAGTAAGCTAGGAAAATAAAGCAAATATGAATTAAAGCAGAAAATGAATGGAAAATTGCAAAGAAAAACGATTAACGGAAGTGAGCACTATCAAAATTCGTGCATCACCCAGGTATTCGAGAATATTCTTCGATGATAATTATTGCGTCTAGTTCAGTTGTGATAGTAGATCTTTAAACTGACGAATAGAAGAACAAGTTTTTAGACCGTATGGTAATGATAACCAATGAGAGTAGCCGGAAAACAAAGGGGACTTTAGATACTGTGCTGACTTAACAAGAGAGAGGATGAGCGCGTTACGGGTTGAGCTTGTCGAAAACCAATTGTACTTCATCATGTGTGAAGGGGTTTTATGAAGAAATATTTTATGAACCAGTAGACAGAGATGGTGCTTTTGACGAACGGAGAGAGGAGAAGTGTGTGCAAGTCGATAAAGGGCATCCCAAGGAAAACAGCGATCCTTGTTGTAAAGAATTTTAAGTATAAATCTATGGTGGACTTCTAATTGGTTCAGAGTTGTGTCAGAAAGGCCACACCAAGTGGTATCGCAATAGTCGAATATAGGGAGAATATAGCACTGATAAAATAATAGTTTGCACTGGATGGGCAAATGAGTGCAATGTGTTTG